CTTAGTAGAATAAACATGTTAAATATCAGAATATTTTTAAACTAGGTCATTCCAATCATACAGATTACATTTTTATCAACTACCCAAGCATTCACTCGTATCAATATACGATTATGACAAACATAATTATTCCAACCCTTCAGCATTTCTGAGTGCTCATTGTATATTAGACACTGGGTAACCCCCAGATGAGCAGGTATAGTCTCCGCTCTCCAAGAACTCATGTGAAATGGTCATTTGACAAGCTGGTTTCGATCAAAACAATGAAAAATAACAAATATTGGCAAGGATATGGAAAAATTGTAGCCTTCATCCATTGCTGGTAGAAACGTAAAATGGTGCAGGTACTTTAGAAAATAGTTTGGTAGTTCTTCAAAAGTTTAAACATTGAGTTACCATATGACACAGCAATTCTACTCCTAGGTATATGTCTGTATTGGGGCTCTCTATAGGGACAGAATTAATAGGATAGACGTATGATAGATGTAAATATAAAGGGGAATTTATTAAGTAGAATTGACTCACACAATCACAAGATGAAGTCCCACAATAGGCTGTCTGCAAGCTGAGGAGCAAGGAAGCCAGTTTGAATCCCAAAACCTCAAAAGTAGGGAAGCCAACAGTGCAGCCTCAGTCTGTGGTCAAAGATCCGAGGATCCCAGAGCTGAAGGACTTGGAGTCTGATGTCCAACGGCAGAAAACATCCAGCACTGGAGAAAGATGTAGGCCAGAAGACTAAGTCAGTCAAGCCTTTCCACGTTCCTCTGTCTTTTATTCTGGCTGTGCTAGCAGCTGACTAGATGGTGTCCACTTAGATTGAGGGCGAATCTGCCTCTCCCAGTCCACTGACTCATATGTTAACCTCCGTTGGCAACACCCTCACAGACACACCCAGGAAAAATACTTTGCATCCTTCAATCCAATCAAGTTGACACTCAATATTAAGCATAACAATGTCCAAGAGAGATGCATGTAAAAACTCATCCATGAATGTTCATAGGTGGAAACAACCCAAATGTCCATCAACTAATGAATGGCTAAATCATGGTACATCTATACAATAGAATATTATTCATCCAAAAAGTACTGAAGTGTTGACATATGCTACAACATAAACCTTGAAAACACTATGGAAACTGAAAGAAACCAGTCACAAAAGACCACATATTTTAAGATTCTACTTACAGAAAAAAATCCAAATAAGTAAATTTGCAGAGACTGAAAGTAGATTCTTGGTTGCTTAGGACTATAGGAATTGGGAGGGAATGGGGACTGACCACCAATGGATATAGGTTTCTTTCAGGAGTGATAAAAATGTTCTAAAATTGTGGTAATAACAGCAGAATTCTGTGACTATATTAAGAACCATTGAATTATATGCTTTAATGGGGTGAATTTTATAGTATGTGAATCATATCTCAATAAAGCTGTTAAACTTTTTTTTAAAGTTATTATCTTAATGTTTGGAAGAATAATTTACTGTAGATTTTGCTTGGATTTTCCACTTTGATTTGAAGTGGTTGCCTCATGCTTGTTTTCTGCTATTTGGAGTGAGCTTCCAGCTATCTGCAAACCTCCCTGCTGCTTTCTCTGAAATAAAGTTAGCTTCTGATCTGTACATCTTTAAGAAAGAATTCTCCTGCTGCTCTATTCTTGGCAGTGGCTGTACCAGGCACCTCCATGGCCTCTTCCAGCCCACCACCTACATTCTATGTCCCCCAGAAGGATGTTACCATTTCTTCTTAGCATTTTCACAAATCCGGAATTTTTCTGCACCTCTGGAGCACTGGCATCCACGGAGTGACTTTCTTTTATAAACAAACCACTGAGTTGGCTGGGCTCTGCCCCTTGACTTTATCTGCCAGTGTCATATCCTAGGGGTTGGAACTGGTATTCTCACTTCTTGCCTCATCTCAAATGCATTCCTAATATAAATCCATTGGGCTGAGGTTTCTATATTCTATATTTATAAAGTCCTCGACCCACTTCCCATCTCTATGTTCTGTCTAGGCTGGGATCTTGATTCTGACTTGAATTGAACCAGATGTGCTATATCCCCACTATCAGGATTCAGCCTCTGCCTTCCTCATCCTACCCCCAGTCACCAGAGCTGCCAGTTTGCCGCTTTTCTACCACTCCTTCCCCCTACCATACAACCTACTATTTCATATAGTCCCATCTCTCCCTAGGGAGGGGGTCACATTGCCTCCACAGATGAGTGAAGTGTACCAGGTGGAAACTGCAGCAGAATGGTGAACTTAGTGTGCATCTAAAGAGAGCCTGCCCTCCCTCATACCCCTGCTGATTGTTACTGTATGAACATGTGGCCAAGTGGTGCCAGATGTGCCAGGTTTTTGAGGGAATAGAAATCCTGATTTTTTAAGTAAAATGTCCCAATTAATAAAGTTTGGCTCTATTTTTTAAAATAATTTTTAAACACACTGTGCAGACCATATAAAACTTATATGTAGGTCAAACTTAACTCAGAGAGCCCCACTTTGATATATCTGCTTAGGATCTGCCCAACATTCTCTCACACTCCCAGCTGTCTGCACCCTGCCGCAGTGGGCTCACACCAATGGTTCTGACATAGCAATGCATAAAGGTCAAAAAGGGATGCTGTGTATGTTTGAATGAGATACTGATGTAGATATGGATCTCACTAACTTTATAAACATGAAAGATACAGTGTGATTTGGGGGTCTCAGGTGTAATTTTGAGGTTTCATTTGAATGAGATATTTATGTAGATACAAATCTTATTAACTTTATAAACACAAAAGATACAGTGTGATTTTAGGGTCTCAGATGAGGTTCTATGACACATACATGTGGACCAGTCAGGAGACAGCGTGGTCACTTCCCACAGAGAACATTATCCAGTGATGAAATCTGAATTCCAGCTTGTCTTGTTTGAAATGGTCTTTGACTCTGTGAGATGAACCATTGAAGTGCTTACCTCAATATAAAATACTTTTACCTAAAATTCAAGTTGTTAGAATAACAGAGTTCATTATTCATCAACATTCACTCATTGCCTTGCTGAAGGCAACTTAATGCTTGTCATGGGGAAAATCCCTGCTGTAACCTTTATTTCAGTGCATCATTTACCTTGACTAGTTTAAATATAATCTCTCTTACTTCATTCTCCTTCCAACCCAAACCCAAACTGATTTCTAAGGTGATTGCTGATAGCAGACCCTGTCATTTATACAAAATGTCATGTTAGTCATCATGACAGTAGAAAATTTCTGCTAAAGAAAGTGAATCTTATATTATTTTCTAGGCACCAGGCAGCGTTCAAAGGTAATGATGTGGCCATTAAAACTTTTTCTCCACAAAAAGAAATTATTAAATGATGAGTGGCTTGACATCCAGATTTGCATACTTCAAATAGCTCTTTATCCCAGATATGTTACTGTTAGGAATGATTAAACCTGAATGCATAGTTTGTGGAAGGAAAGATAATCTTAGGTAGATACCCACCTAAGTACTATATAATGAAATAACATTCATATAATTATATCACAGTTAATGTATATCTAATACACATATTTGGGCATATATAATATACATATTTGTGTGCATATGGACACATATTTTAAAGCAGCAGGAAGTTATAGTAAAATTCTTCTGGCACATGCTTACCTGGTATATCACATTTTTTACATTAATTATCATTTCTCCCATCAAAATATAGTCTTTCCCCTATCTTGAGAATCAAGCATTAGAGGCAGTGTTCAATTAGCATTTATCAAGAAATGCTAGTTCATAAATTTATTTTTTAAAGAAAAATAAGTAAATGAAGCCCAAGTTGACCAAATAATTAAATCCATCCTCAGAAAAAGTAAAAGTTTTCAAATGCACTTCAAAGATCCATCCAAATCGGCTACTCCTATAACCCTGGGCAACAGCTGTGGACTGAATTCTGTTCTTCCTTCCCAGATTTACATGTCAAAGCCCTTATCCCCAATGTAGCTATCTGAAGATAGGATCTTTAGGAGGTGATTAAGGTTAACTGAGAACATAAGAGTGGAGATCTAATTAAATAAAACTGTAGCCTCATAAGAAGAGGAAGAGAAAGAAATCTCCCGCCCCCATCACCCTCCCGCCAGGCAAGAACAGGGCAAGAAGGTAACAATCTTAGCAATTATTTTGACTCACGTTCCTATTTTACAGAAATTTATTTTTGCATGATTTTGGAGGCTGAAAAGTCCAAGATCAAGGTTCTGGCAGGGTTTCATTTATAGTGAGGGCTCTTTTCCTGGCTTGCAGACTACTATCTTTGTTGTTTAAGCCACTCAGTCTATGATATTTTGTTACGGTAACCCCAGTTGACTAACACAGCCACCTACTAAACCTCCATGGACCTCTGTTTACTCATTTGTAAAATGTGAGGGTAAGTCAAAACAACTGCTAAGATTTCTTCCAAATCAAACACTAGATGACTAGATTTTGAATCAGACCCCTAGCGTTTTGATCTGCACCTCTGCTATCCATATATTCAGAAGGTCTTAACTTGAATAAGGGAAAATGTCATGCAAAATAAAATATCCACAATGAAACTAGTTACCACAGATAAATAAAAATTTATAGATACGGATTCCCCCCTCAAAAAAAAAAACACCTACATACTTAACATTATTATAAGGCCAGTGTTCCCTAAACTTTGGCCATTTAAGTTTTATTTCAACCTGAGTACCACTTATGTATTTATTCACTTAAAATCTGTCTTAAGTGGAATTTAAGTTGGCTTACATTTTTATAATTAGCGACATCCTAAGCAATCATAAGCTTAATTGTGCTAGTTTCGTGTTTTTTTAAATAATTATTAAAAGAAATATATAATCCATGAAATAAAATCTCACTAAATACCATCTAGATTTGTGTAGTATACTCTCAGCAGGACACACGTTAAACTTTGGAAAATACCAGAGTAGCTCATCAAAATGAGGATATAAACACTGGTCCACAATATAAAACTCTGTGCTTAAAGGAATCTACTATAGTAACACTTCCATTACATTTATTAAGATAGAAAATCATCAGCTGCTACACCCTTTCTTTCATTAGTCAGAGATGCTGATTCCATACATTATTTTTTAAATGGGCAAGATAGGACCGCCAGTCAAGGAATAGAGTTTCCGTTTTACATCTGAATTAGCATAAATCCCACTCTCATCATGCCAAGTGTTGATGCCAAATCTTTTAGAACCATTTAGATCCGTGAACTGAGAACGGCATTTTCTGTGGACTATGGAGTAATCATCTTGACAGGTATAACTCTGTGGGGGGGGGGGGGAAGAGAAATAACATTAAATAACTGAAATATGTAAAAAGAAGTAAACTTCAAAAGTTGATCTTTTATATATTATTATGATGATCAAAGGTTAATTTTTAACAATTGATTAATTTGTTCTCTTAAATAGCAAATGCTTCAATTTAAAAAATGGCTATTACATTCATAATTACTTTAAATCCCAAAAAAAGAATATAGTTTATGGTTGTTTATGAAACTAAAAAGCTCCTACACATGTAAAAATTTTTTAAACCACAAATACATAGCATAAAGAACAATTTAAATTTTATGATCCGATATATGAAACAAAAACAATTATAATTTAACTACAATTCAACACCTTTAAAAAATATGTTGTAACCATTGCAAAGAATAATATCTTGGGCAATATCTTTAATAACTGTTACCAAGTTATACTTCCCATGACAATGGTAAATGCCAAGCTCTGATACATTCCTATAAGAATTAACCTCAACATAACCCAGTATAGTGTTTAAGAAAGAGCACTTAGGCCACTTCAGAAAAGCTTCATTGTAATAAAACAAGATATTATCATTGATTATTTCCCAAAGGAAACATTGATTCTTTCAGATTACACCAAGGGTAATGGCAGACATGGAACATAAAGCCTTTTAACTGATTATCTAATTTCTGCTTTAAATTGGCTCTAATTTTAAAGCACTAGGACAATATTGAAATTAAATCACCAAAGCTATAAAACAATGAAAGAACACCAAAACAGTTATAATCTTAGATTGGTTTTGTCAAAAATAATTGAAAACTTTAACCATATGTTCAATCTTAATAGTGCCCATGTATTTATTGAATGCCCATTATGGGTTGGGCACAGTATTTGAGTGCTTATATTTTTTAAACCATAACTGGGCTCTGAGATATAAATTACTACTCCCACTCTACGCATAGAAATGATGATTTTCTTAAAATCTCAGGAGACAATTTAAAGAAAGTCAGCAATAAGTGACTAAGCCAGGACTACAAATTAGATCTGTCTGACTGTAAAACTCATTATCCCTTCAGAAACCTCACAGAACCTTTAACAATTAAGAGATGAAAAGAAATGTAAACTATAAAATTATAGAGCTATATAATATTTGTGTCACTGTTTATGTAGTTCTGGCTTTTGCTTTTGTCATCAGGTCTATTTCTTCAGGTGTTATGGTTGGTTGCTTTGTGGGTGGGTCAAATAGAGGCCCTTTAAATGAGATTTGAGCATCACTGGCCCAAACTGTCCCCTCAGAGGGAGGCAAGATCTTCTCATTCACATCCCTGCTGCATTCAAACTGAAGAGAACTTCAAATTCAGTGTCTATGTGCTCCTGTAGCATTTCATAGGCAAAGAGAAGGATTTATTTTTATGAGGTAAGCAACATGATGAAATGCAGTGTTCTAGAAAAGTGATTCTGGTAGCAGAAGCACTAAAGACTAGAGGAGGAAAAAACTGGAGTCTGGAACTGTGATTAGAATTAGATTAGAATTGAATCATTCACATGTCATCAGTTACATGAATAAACAAACATGGTCTATACATATAATGAAATATCATTTGTCAACAAAAGGAATAAAATACTGATATATGCTACACAGTTGGAAGAGCCTGAAAACATTATGCTAACTGGAAGAAGCTAAACCACATATTGTACAATTTCTTGTATTAAGTGTGCAGAACAGGCAAATCCACAGAGGCAGAAAAGTAGACTGTTGATTGCCAAGGAATGGGACCATGGGAAGGAACGGCGAGTGACTGTTTATGGGTATTGTGTTTCTTGGGGTGACAAAAGTGTTCTGAAATTTCTTGTGGTGATGATTGTACAATCCCATAAATACACCAAAAAAAAAAAAATCACTAATTATACACTTTAAAAGGGTGAGTGTTACAGTATTTGAAATTATATCTCAGTGAAGCTGTTATTAAAAAAAAGAATGGGTCAGGCACAGTGGCTCACTCCTATAATCCAAACTCTTTGGAAGGACAAGGTGTGAGGATCGCTTGAGGCCAGAGATTCAAGACCAGCCCGAGCAACACAGTAAGACCATGTCTCTATAAAATATAAAATTAGCTGGGCATGCTGACACATTCTTGTAGTCCCAGCTACTCAGGATGTTGAGGTGTGAGGATCACTTAAGCCTAGGAGGCTGAGACTTCAGTGAGCTGTGATCATGCCACTGCTCTCCAGCCTGGGCAATAGGACAAGACCCTATGTCAAAAACAAAAACAAAAGAAGGATTCATTGGAAGAAGCAATTCTGATGTTAGAAAAACAAGTTAAGAGACTGTTGCCTGTTAACCCACGTCAGTAACATTGGGTTCCTCTCATTCTCAGTGCTATATTGGTAAACCAGCCAATTTCTTTTCTTTTTTTTTTTTTTAATGGACTGTTGCTCTGTCACCCAGGCTGGAGTGCAGTGGTGCAATCTCGGCTCACTGCAACCTCTACTACCTCCCTGGTTTAAGCAATTCCCCTGCCTCAGCCTCCAGAGTAGCTGGGATTACAGGGCCATGCCACCACACTCGGCTAATTTTTTTTTATTTTTAGTAGAGACGGGGTTTCACCATGTTGGCCAGACTGGTCTCGAACTCCTGACCTCAGGCAATCTGCCCACCTCAACCTCCCAAAGAGTTGGGATTACAGGCATCAGCCACTGCAACCAGCCATATTTGCCAATTTCTGCAGCATAAATACTCCCACTATGGCTAACTTCAAGTTACCAGAGTGAAGCCAGCGAAACTGAAGAAGAGGTAAGCATAGTTAGCTCAGGCCAACTGTTAAGAGCTGGTTCCAGCTCATCCCTGAGTCCACTTCTCCCATTTCTCAGGGTGTGGCAGGGATGTAGTTTGAGTAGGATTGATCCCAGTCCCAAGTCTAGGAGCAGAATCTAATTGGCTGAAGACAATCAGAATAGAGGCATATCATTCTCAATGACAGTAATAGGTTCAGTGTTAGGCATGTGACTTAAATTTGTCCAAACAGATTAAAGCCCAGGACTTCTGTTCAATGGTTTATGTGAAAGAAGTTATTTTTTCTACAATTGGACATAAAGGAAGAAGCATCTAACCCAGGGTGCTGTTTGCAGCTCTCCTACACAAGAGCAAAGGACTTTGCTCTTCTGTTGGTTTTCAGAAAAATGTCAACCAAAGAGCAAAGTCATACCACCTTCTAACATGCAAAATAGGAATTTTTGGCAAGAGAATAGCCTTGTAATCCAACTTACAGTTCTGAGGACTTTAGAATGTCAATGATCAAACCTGGGAGACTACAGAGTTCTCCAAATGGGTAGAGAAAATATCATTTGCTATGAAGGCTTAGAGAAGAGTTGAAATGAAGAGAAGGAAGGTGGGGAAGAATCTGTCTAGGAAATTGTGAGAATTAAAAAATAAGGGGGAAAGGAAAGCAGAAAGAGCCAATGTTATGACCCAATTTTCCCAACCCTGGGCTTTAATCAGGCGAAGTCCCTTTGACCTGAATAGTGAATGGTACATTAGATGAATGAGAATCATGGCAAAAAGACATAGGAGCTTCCTGACTCCCATTTCTGTTGGAAACTCTTGAAATAGGTGTTAACTCTCAGACAGCCCTTTCTTTCCAGTCCGTAGTCAGGTAGAGGGAACCACCAAGATTCATCAGTCCTGAGCCACTTTTGTTTTCCTGTGGCATGGATGAAATCCTAAGGTAGCTGCAAGTCTGCAGAGGAGGATACTAACAGGGGCTGCAGAGCTGACCACTGGAGCTGTGGCTGCATAAGAGTCACGGAAGGTGCCTGTGGGGTGTACGGTGTCTATGGGAATGGAAACAAGGCTGAGTCATCCCAGACAGGCCTTCTGGGCTCCACCCAAGCCCAGAGATAAAAAGAAAACGCCTGCCAGTTACAATGTCCACAAAGTTTAGTCACTAATATCAGCAAAGAAAAGAGCAACCAGGTAGACTAGGGCTATTACCCCAGAGAGCAGAACAGGCAGAAAACACATGTAAAACCCTACTCCTCCCTCTGGCATCAGGATGCTGAGTCACATCCTTCTCTGCATGTATCTGGATGCCATCATAGGAAAAGCTGACATTCTTATTGCTGCACACAACCCACTCTGCTCATACTAGTGTAAAATAATAGCCATTTCCTTGTGCCTCCAGCTTCTTTGGGTCAGGTATTTGGACAGGATATGGCAAAGGCAGCTCTCTGCTTTACAATGTTCAGGGTCTCAGCTGATTCATAGAAAGAAGATAGATTCATAGAAGACATGAGAGTTGCAAGTGAGTTGAGGGTTAGGGGTTGGACACATCTCATTCCATTTGGTCACTGATGCTGGCTGGCTGCTAGAACCTTGGCTGGGCCTCTTGGCTAGAACAACTGCTTGGGTCCTCTCCATGTGCTTGCTCTGCTTCCTCACAGCACAGTGACTGCCTTCTGAGAATAAGCATCCCGCAATGTGAAATAAGAGGAAGGTGTATTGCTTTTTATCACTAGCCTTGAAAATCACATATCATCAATGCCATCAGTTTACCACAATTCTCTCTAGGGAGGTAACGTAGACTCTGCTTCTCAGTTGGGGGAGTGTCAAAATCATATTGTAAGAGCATGTGGGATAGGAGCTCAAGTTGTGACCATTTTTGGAAAATACAACTTTTGTCCTCTTTTCAGGGAGAAGAGTGTGGTGTATTGGGGTCTCCAAGACCACCTCAGGTTTGATGATCTTCTAGGAGGACTCACAGTTGTGTGTGTATACACACACACCCCTGTATACAGATGCTCCTCAACTTGCAAGGCAGTTACATCTGAATAAACCCATCTAGGTTAAAAAAAAATCATAAGGTGAAATGCATTTAATGCCCCAATAAACCCATCATAAAGTCAAAACATTGTAAGTTGAACCATCATAAGTCAGGGACCATCTGCATAGTTGTACTCATGGTTATGATTTATTACATACAAAGCATACAAAGCAAAATCATCAAAGCCTATGGGCTGACATCCAG